CGGCGTCGGAGGCCCGGGTGGGACGGGCCGGGGGGCCCTCGTCCGCGGTCCGACGGGGCCCCGTGTCGGCCGTGGCCGGCCCGGGCTGTAGTTCCCTCATCCGTGAAGGGACAGCGTCTGTCCGGGGATCGACAGACTCCCGGAGTCCTTCTGATTCTGACATCGCAGCCAGACTCTGAACAAGCCCCGCTCAGGAGGTAAACCTGGGTCCGCAGACAGGGACCAGCTTCAGACCTGCTGCGTGAACACCTGGAGTCGGAGGCCTGACCGTGTGCGTGCGCCGGAGGGTGGGGTGCGTGGAAATCCTGTTGGCTCGTGCGCCGCTTTCGGAGACAGTGAATAAATTCAGTGCGATTAGTTCTTGGCTTCACAGTGCAGTTTACAGCCTCTTTTTACTAGAAGCATTTCTTTTTCAGAAGGAAAATGTTCTCAAAGCATAAAGCAGAAGCACTCTGCGAGGGGAACGTCGGAATTCCACGTTAACCCCCGGATTTGTCTTCTCATTCACAGGCTTGGTTTCACGTACCTGCGGCTGAAGGACAATTACATGGAGATCTTGAACAGGGACAATGACGTTGAGAGGTGAGGACACCGTGAAGTCGTGATCGCAGCTCACACACCTCACGGGGACCTGCAGTGGAGGCGGGAAGGGTCACCTGTACAGGTTTCTCCTTGGAGAAAAGGCCAGCTTCCCTGTTCCCGTCTCATAACCCGTCCTCCCTCCTTCTCAGTGACAACCCCGAGAATGTCACCAAAGCTCTCGGAGAGTTTAAGGATCAGGCGGTCAGAGAAGCCGCTGGACGGTGTTGCACCGTCAGACAGGCTTGGGCTAGGCCACCTGACGTCAGCTTGACTGCAGAGGCTCACGTAGCTGCTAGAGCGTCCGGACGCCTCCGGGGTCCCGTAGGCACACTGAGCTGTAGCCCGAGAGAGACAGCTGGACGGACATGGGACGTCTCACCTTCCATCGCGCCGTTTACCCCTTCTCACCCTTGAAACACATTTTAAATCTTTTTCAGGTTTGAATTGCTGGAGATCCTGGGCTTTGACTCAGTGAGGAGGAGAATGAGTGTGATTGTCAGATCCGCTGCAGGTAGACGCCCTCCCCTTCGGCGCCGCGAACGATAACGTTGTGGTTGTGCTTCATTCTGGTGCCTAACCCTGCAGGAGCCCCAAGGGTTTAGACGTCTTCCCCCCTCTTTTTAGACTGAAGTAGAGCTGGCTTGCAGCGCTGTGTTGCTTTCTGGTGGACGGCGTGTGACTCAGTCACACGTCTGCTCTTCCTCACGTTCTCTCCCGTGATGGGTTATCACAAGACGCTGAATGTGGTTCCCTGAGCTGCGCAGCAGGACCCTGCTGTCTGCTTTATAGATGGTGGTGTGTATCTGCCAGTCCCAGGCTCCCGATTGATCCCTGCCCCCTTTTCCCTTTGGTCACCGTAAGTTTGTTTTCTGTGCCTGTGAGTCTGTTTCTGTTTTTAAATTGTTCGTGTGTCCTTTTTTTTCATTCCAAAGATAAGTGATGTGTGGTATTTGTCCGTCTGTCCGCCTTACCTCACTTTGACGATCGCCAGGTCCACCCCTGTTGTCGCGCGTGGCGTGGTTTCATCCTCTCTCATGGCTGAGCAGTGTCGTTGTGCACACGCACCACGGCTTCTCCACCCAGCCCTCTGTGGTGGACGCCTGGGCTGCTTCCGCGTCCTGGCTGTTGTAAATACTGCTGCTGAGCACACCGGGGCACGTGTCTTTTGTTCCCTCTTCCAAAGCATAGACAGACCCGCTGCAGTCACGCCTCCTCCACCCCCGCCCACTCCCCTCGAGCCCTGCTCCTCGCCTGCAGCTCTAGGTGCAGCCACGGGGGACGCCCTCCTGCTCTCGTCAGCCAGGAAGCTGTGGCTCGTCCTCGGCCCTTGCCAGGCTGGAGACGCCCTGCGCGCGGACGCGCCTCTCGGCAGTGCGCGCTGCAGCCCTGCCACCGGTGCCCGGTGGACACAGCTGGGTTCAGTTCACTTGTCCAGTTTCAGAATGGCACCTGATCAGGACACTCGGGGTCTTACTCCTTTTCGTTTCTTAAAGCCAGGCTGCATCGGGCTGTGTTTTTCCGTTTGGAAACTTGCCCGGTAAGCAGCCAAACGGAGCCGCCACCCTGACACTGAACAGACTCAGCCCCACACGGGGACCCGGGGCGGCTTGGGGAGCACGAGGTCGGCCTGCCCTGAGGCTTGCACTGAGAGGACTCCATTCCAACAGGAAGTGGACAGAGTGAGCCCTTAACCTGGCCCTTTGCGTCCCTTTTGATGGGGCCGCAGATGCCTCACTCTGGCTTCTCAGCCGGCTGAGGCCACCGTGAGGCCACCGAGGCTCCTCTGCCCGCGGCGCCGGGGAGTCACCCTGGAAGGAGGTGTGCTCCGTGGGCGGGGCCGTGGGCGTCTCTGAGCTGGTTCTCTGAGCCGCTGATGAGGTTATCGGCCGTGACAGCTCCGCGGATGAGACCTGCTCAAACGAGTGAGTGGAACTCAAAGTGCTTCGTGTCAGTGCCGCTGAGACGCGTGGACGCAGGGATTTGACCGCTGGGCTCTTAAGGATGTGGAAGCACGCAGCCCAGGTGTTTGCAGATGAGTTCGCCTGTGCCGGCGCTGGCCTGCGCTCTCCTGGGAATTGAAGGCGCCGACACATTCGTCCGGGATGAAGGCACCAGGCTTGGAAATTACACCTGCAGTTTTTCTGCCGTGTGGCTTCCCCCGGCAGGTGTGTTCTGTGGGGGCCAACGTGCTGGGGAGAGTCGGTCAGCCCGCCGTCGGGGGCACGGCCTCCAGGAGCGGTGCCTCAGGCCCCATCTGGCCCCAGCCCGTCCCCAGACCTCCTGAGCTGCCTCGGACACCGAGCTGGTTCGGGGATGCGCCGTGGACTGTTCGAACACGACTGTGCTCACCAGCAAAGAGGGCGTGGCGAAGGCTTGCACAGGATCTGAGCCACCCGAAGGACGTGTGTCCATGGCCTTCACACCGTTGGAACAGCCCTTCCTCGCCGCGCCGTCCGCGCCCTCCTAGGGCAGCTCTGAGGGGCTGCGGGCCGACGGGGCCGAGGCTGGACCATCTGCACCAGCCGCTGCACCAGCTTGTTTCCAGAACGTTGAATGTTTCATCAAACAAGCTGTTCTCTCAGAAGTAGCTCCTCCTCGGAGCTGACAGCCTGGACGGCGGGGGCGGACATCGGAGCCCAGCGGCCACTTAGCTGCAGGGGTCTGACCGAGGGCTCTGAGGGGCCCGGCGTCTCCTGTGTGGGTTGGTAACCCTCCCTTGTTGACGACAGTGGAAAAGCAGAGTCCACGGCGGGAGCCAGTGCCGTCTGCGCTTGTGCTTTGCAGGTTGAATTTTGCCTCGTTCTCTGCATGTTTTTATGTCAGAGGTTCTCCTGGACACGTCCCTCATCTAAAGCGTTTCAGGGGAGGGGCAGGTTGAGGCAGCGGGACATTTCAGTCATTCACCAGCCATTTCCATGAGTCACTGTGATTCTTCTAGGAGAAATTATAGCCCAAGAGTGCATCGTTACTCAGAGTTGTCTGGACCACACAACTTGTTCTGAACTGTGCCTGATGACGTACGAGCATAGCCTAGAAGTTACGGCTGGCGGTCGGGCAGGGGCGCTGCCGTCGGGCTGGCTGGCACTCAACCTGAGAGGGGCCCGGGCTCCCCTGGGATGGGCTCCCTGCTCCTGCAGATCCTGCTCAGCTCAGCACGCCGGCCGCACCCCCACTCCCCTCCCAGCGCGGCCCCGGGTCTGCTCCGGGTCCTGCGTGCTTCCCAGCCGTGGGCTGGCGTTGCCCTGGGTTAACTGCAGGACTCGGGTGTGTCACGGAGGGTAGTTCTCTCTGGGACCAAGGACAACGCCAGTGTGCCTCCTGATGCCGCCGCCAAGTTCCCAGGCCCTCGTCCGGGCTCCCTGTGTGGGCCGGCAGGTCTGGGCTCACCAACTGTCGCCCGCCAGCGCGCCCCCTCCCCACGGCCCCTCCGGGCACCCTCGCCCGGGAGCCGGCTACAGTGGAACAGTCCCGGCTCCTCCTGGTCCCCCTGGTTTGCTGCCTGAGGGCCGCCAGCGCCCAGGGTCTCCAGGGGGTGGTGATTTCTGTCTGAAGACAGATTAGGAAGAGACTCTGGGTCCCTCTGGCCCTGCAGCTGCCGGCAGGCGCATCACGCTGCTTCCACGAGTCACATGCCAACCCCGCAGCCGGCCAGATGCCCTGTGGTTTGCCGGCGGGAAGGCTCTTCGCAGGAGAGGAGGAGCCCAGGGCGTCGGCGCAGGTCCCTGCAGCCTCTTCATCCCCGTTCCGTCAGAGCCTAGATTTTCCAGACTCACCGGGAAGGAAGCCGACTCCCCTTGAGCGGGGAGCGCGCACGTAGCCCTAACGCGTGTGAGGCGCAGAAATCGCAGGACGGATGCTTCCCGTCAGCTCCTGTGAACGCAGAGGACAACCCGATGTTCCCGCCCGGCGTCTCAGCAGATCCTTTCCTGGTTTGGGGTCGGTCGGCCAGGCCCTCTGTGTCCTCACCCCTCCCTGGTCCTGCAGCCTCACTCGCATCCTTGCTGGAGAGAAGGCAGAAGTGACAGGGTGACAGGAGGAGGGGCGCCGGGAGCCAGTTCCTGACGTTCCCTCGAGGTTCGGGGCTCGTCGGAGCGAGGCTCTGGGGTGACCCGTAGGTGTGATGTTTCCGACTTTGCGTGTTGACTGCTCTGTTGGCGTCTCCCTCATAACGGTCTCAGCACTGATACCTTGGTTTTTGTTCTTTAACGAAAGCATAATTTGAAAAATAATTCATTCTCCCCCAGAGTGTGATTACATTAAACTCTTTTCCCCCTTGTTTTTTAGGAGAAATTTATCTGTTTTGCAAAGGAGCAGATTCTTCAATATTTCCCCGAGTGATAGAAGGCAAAGTGGAGCAGATCCGATCGCGAGTGGAGCACAACGCGGTGGTGAGCGCGGCCGGGCGGCCTGGGGCCCTTCTTCCTCGCGGGGAGGGACGCTTCTGCCGGGCGGGCGGGCGTCAGGACGGGCGCCGCCTTCCTTGGACATTTGGCTTGTTCCCGTCCTGCTGTGGGAGCTGGGTTGCCGTTGGGGCTCCAGGGTCAGGATGACAAGCACCTCGTGGGATGGCCTTTGCCCTGAGGGTTCCTGGTGACCGGCGCTCGCCCTTTACGCCGTGACTCCACCTGCTTGGTTTCCTTCTCGCGCTTCGTTCTGAAGCGCGCGCTCGGTCTGTCCCGGGTGCATCGTGTTCCTGCATCACCAGAGCTTCATGCCACTGCGTGGCTGAATCGCATTCCGTCGTGTGGACACTGTGTGTGTGCCACGCGGTTGTCCACCCTCGTTGAGGGACTCGGGCCGTGTCCACCTTTGGCCACTGGGAGTGACGCCCGTGCGCAGGTGCGCCTGTGTCCGAGTCCCTGACTTCCTTCGATCGTGTGCTGAGGAGTGGGACGGCTGGGTCACCTGGTGATTCTAACATGTGTAGCTTTTCCAGGAGATGCCGGGCTGTTCTGTGGTGCCAGGCCGCAGTGGCTGCACCGTCCCCCAGCGGTGCACGAGGGTTTCAGTTTCTCTGCACCCTCACCGACACCTGCTGTTCCCCATTTGTGTTGTGACGGCCACCCTAGTAGGTGTGAGGCGGCACCTCGTGGGTGGTGGTGGCGTTTCCCTGATGACCGAGGACGCTGAGCAGCCTTCCCTGCGCACACTGACCGTTTGTGCATCTTCCCCGCAGGGGTGTTTGGTCGAGCTTTTTGCACAATTTGTAAATCAGGGTTTTTTCCTTGTTGAATTGTAGGAGCTCTTTATAGACTGTGAATGCCAACACCGCATCAGATGTGTGATTTGCCCCATTTCCTCCCAGGCCGTAGGCTGCGCCGACGCTGCAGATCGCCCTGGGTCGTGCTGTCCCGGGAGTATGAGGTCTCGCAGGCCTGCACACAGCACGCCTGTCCGCTGGCTTGGGTCTTCTGTGCTTTCTTTCAGCAGAGTGTTGCCATTTTCGGTCTGCAGGTCTTCACCTCCCTGGTTTAATTCGTGCTTGGCTGCTCTATTCTTTTTGGTGCCTTTGTGAGTGGAATTGTTTTCTTACCTTCCTTTTTGGATGGTTCAGTTAGTGTATAGGAACACAGCCATGTCTGTGTTGACCTGCCGTTCTGCGCGGCGTGGCTTCACACACAGTCTCCTGTACTGAACGCAGCCGTTCGTTCCAGCCGTGTGCGTGTGCGTGCGCGCGTGTGGTGTACCTGGAGTCGTCAGGGTTTCTACGTATAAGGTCGTGTCACCTGTGAGCAGAGGTGACTTCGTTTCTTCCTTTCTGCTTTGGACACCTTTGTTGTTCTTGCCTAACTGCCCTGGTGAAGATTTCAGCACCACGTTGAATACGGGCGGCAAAGGTAGGCGGGCAAGTCTGGATCCTGATCTCGAGGGAAAGCCTTCGGTCTCTCGCCACCGGGTGTGACGCTGGTCTGAGCCTTTCGTGTGTGGCTTTTATCAGGTTGAGCAAGTTCCTTCTGTTCCTAGTTTATTGAGTGGTTTTACCATGAAAAGTTGTTGGGTTTTGTCAGTTTTGGTTTTTTTTTTTGCATCAACTGAAATGATCGTGGGAGACTTTCTCCTTGTTCTTTCGATGTCGGGTGTTCCTTCATTGACGGTCGTGCACTGAGCCGCCCTCGGATTTATGGGGTGAACCCCACTTGGCTGTGGTATGAAATCCTTTGGCTACGCTGTTGAATTCAGTTTACTGGTATTCAGTTGAGGATGTCCGTGTCTCTGTTCGTGAAGGACAGTGTTGTGCATTTTCTTTTCCTGCAGCGTGTCTGTCTGGCTCTGTCTGCACGGTGTCGGTTCACACGGTCTCCAGGGTTTTCGTAGCGCTTTGGAGGAACAGAGAGCGCATTTCTACCCCACGTCTCCCCACAAGGGGACGCCCGTATCCACTTGGGAGCACAGTCCCATTTCTGAAGGTTCTGCTGACTGCTGACCCCACGTCTCCGCTGCGACAGCTCTGAGTCACTGTCCTTTTCTGGTGCAGGTTTTCTGGTGTGAGAACGAAGCCGTACATCCCGTGTCTGTTGCTTCTTCGGGGAAGTCAGAGAACTTGTTCTGCGATTTGAGTTTAATGTCTCTAACTTGATCATGTGGGTGCTTCTGTACAGTTTGAACCGTTTACCGTTTCAGCAGAAGTTACTGAGTTATGACCATGTGCCAGGGACTCGGGGGCGACTTGAGACCCTGTGCCGGCAGCCTGAGCTCTGCCCCCCGGAGCAGCAGGCCATGGTGAGGAGGGGGGACAGAAAACCAGGAGGCAGCATAGGAGTGGGGAGAGGCCCTCGCGGGGCACGGCATCCCTGAGCTTCCAGAGCTCAGGTTCGTGGAGAGAGACCGCGGGGCTGCGGGCTTGGCCCGCTCTGACCGGGAGGTGGTGTCTGGACGGTGGGGGGTAGAGAGGCTCCTGGGGGTCCCCCAGCCACAGATGCTGCCGCAGTCCGGCTCCTTCCTGGCTCGTGCCTCCTCCCCTCAGGCTCCTGGAAGCTCCGGGGACAGCAGGAGCCGTTAACCCAGCCGTGGCCATGTCCCTCGGCTGAGCTTGGAGGTCCGAGGTGGGTGGTAGGGGTGACGTGCTCCGAGAGTCAAAGGAGATTAGCGTTCCTATCATGGAGAAGCTGCCTGAACTCTTGAGAGCCAGTATTCTCCCAGAGTTCAGACTGACAACATAGGAGACCCTGGCTCATGCCCCAGGGTCGGTGGAGTCAGGCTGAAGAAACAGGGACGCAGAGGGGTCTCGCCCAGACGGTCAGTCAGGGCTGCGTGGCGGTGGCTTCATCCTGATCGGGAGGAACTGTCCGCTGATGGAGTGAAGGTGCCCCGTGCGGCCCCTCCGGGCTCCAGGGGGCCAGCGCCCCACGCCCCGCTGGCTGGCGGGCTGCGTGCTCTGCGGTGACACCCTGAACTGTGATCTCAGTAGAGGCTGAGCCCCTCTTAGGTTCTTATTTCACTCCCCTGTGAACCCATTCGGTGTGATAATGACCCCGTGGCTTTCCTTCCGTGGGCGCCAAACAAGGTCAAGCTTGCACAAACTTCCCACCTAGAACACGTCACTTTAAAGCTACCACTTGGCATTCACTCTAAATTGCAAACTGCTGTGCTCGAGAGGTTGACTTCTTCATTTGTCAAAATACGAGAACGAAGCCTTATCTTTCAAGGGCCCTGCTTTGTGCTATTTATTCCCATGCTCCCTGGTTTGAAAATTGTATAACCTGTGATGATTGTCTGTGCTTAACGTGGATGTGGGTGATTCCGTCGTAAATGACCAGCCTTGGGGTGGGCTGGTTTGCAGTCCTCGGCTTCATCACTCTAAGCGGAAGGGGGACGCGGAGGAAGCTGCTGACGGGGGTCAACGGTGCTACTCCGTGTCCTGCAGGAGGGGCTCCGGACCCTGTGTGTCGCCTACAGGAGGCTCACCCAGGAGGAGCACGAGGGCGTCTGCAAGCTGCTGCAGGCCGCGCGGGTGGCCCTTCAGGACCGGGAGAGGAAGTTAGCGGAAGCCTACGAGCAGGTAGAGAAGGACCTCGTGCTGCTTGGCGCTACGGCCGTGGAGGACCGGTAAGCAGGCGCTCGGCCTGGCGTGATATGACAGCAGTGGCCGCAGGAGACGCTGTCACCGCACCCGAGGTGCCGCGCTTCTGCGTCAGGGCCAGGCGGGCAACATCCCCGGGGTCGGGCCGGGTGCCCTTTGACTTCCCGTGAACCAGAGGCCTGAAGGTCATGCTTTCCCACGAGAAACCAGAAACGTTCACCCCGTGTTAGGAACGGTCGAGGCACAGGGGTGTTTTTTCAATTATTCCTTGGAGTGGAATCACTCATGCTGTTCCCGAATTAGTGGCGAGCTCTTTTCAAACACAGGTGTGAACATTTTAGATCTTAACGTTCTCAGTGTATCTGTCATCATTCACTGAGGAAATTTAAAATGATGAGGCCAAATATTGCAAAATCTGACAGTGGTGGCTGTCAGATTACCGACGGCGGATGGTCAGAAACCCCCAAGGAAGGAGCCAGTCTGCCCTAATTCTGCAGCGAGGCCTGGAAGCGGCCGCCTGCGCCCCGTGCTGCCCTGAGAGCAGGCTGAACGGGACAGGCTGCCGTCGTGCTGAAGGAAAGAAGAAAACACCCGGGTTTTAAAACCTTCCGGAGGCCGCTGGGCGCTAGCTAGCTTCCCACGGCGTGGCAGCTGCCGGGCCTGTGCTGGCCCGAGATTCGAGTCCTGGCCTCAGAGTCCGGCTTTTCCGAGCCGCTGATCAGCACTCCCTGGGGCCTCCACCTCGTTAGAGGGCTGGTTGGTTGGCTGTGTTCGTGTTGCGTCCCGCCCCCTCCAGGCTCAGAGCGGGAACGCGGGTGTGGAAGCACGGCCCCCGCGCAGGACAGGCCACAGAGGGCCGGCTGTCGGTGCCAGGAGAGCGTTCAGAGCGTGGCGCCGACCTGGGGCGGCGGGGCTGGTCCCTGATGGGGGAGGGGGGCGAAGGCTCTTACAGGCGGAGGGACCCTCACCCGCTGAGCTGGGGCCCCACTGGGGTCGTGGGAACAGGGGCCTGGCGGCTCTGAGAGAAGACCCCCGGACGTGGGCGAGAGTGGCTCTGAAGTGATGATACTTGATTATAAACTATTCCTTTAGAATCTCTAGCTGGCATCTTTGCAGGCCGCTCTGTGCCTCAGTTTCTTTTTTCCAAAGAATTATGGAATTAGAGATGGTTTTTTCTGTCTCTGGACCAGAACGATTGCATGATCTCCAGACCTTACCTGGGAAGTTTATCCCAGACTGGAACCGGATCATTCCAGTTAGAATCCGAATCTCTTCCTTTCACTCAGCACTGGACAGAAACACGGCCCTCTACTTCACACAGGCGTTTTTTTTTTCACTTCAAAAGCGAAGACTCTAAAATCTAGAGACAGTGGAAGGCCCCCAGAATGAGGCAGGCGTGGTTTTGATGCCGGATTCCCGCGGACCCCGAGACAGTCTGACAAAGGTCAAGAAAGCCGTGTCCTCACACGCGTTCTGTGGCCTCTGCAGCTTTGGGTTTTCCCCACGCAGAATGGAGGCCATGACAGTCCTCACCCGGTAAAGTTTGGCAAAGACGAGACATCACAGGCAGGTGCGTCACGCGGCCTGTGACGCCTGGTGAGCCTGTGACAGGTGAGCCAGTTGCAGAACCAGGACTAGCGTTGTCCGTGTTCCACGTTCTGTGGAGAACCTGGGCTCCAGTTTGGTAAATGGCAAAGTGAGAGCAGCTTATGCCCAAAGAACAGGGGATGAATCGCACCTCTTGTCCAGACCCTGTTCCCCCATTTCCCCCTTTTCCTGGTTGATGGTGATGATAGCCCCTCTTACAATTGCGTAAAATCCTGTCTGAGTAGCCAGTCCAGCCAGACGGAAAACCGTGTGCTCAGCCAACGTCCCTTGTGTGAAATGCCATTTGCTTCCTGGTGTTTCCTCCGTGCTGACGACGTGGTGTGAGGAAGGGACTTGCTGGAAGGAGGAAACCCGGAGCTGTGGAAACAGCTCCCGGTCCTTCGCAGCAGGATCACGAGCGGTGCCAGGTGCTTCTTAACTTGCGGGGAGAAAACTGCCCACAGGTGGGCAGCTCGGGAGTCCCTGAGATCCCACGTCCGCACTGACGGGCGCGTGCTGTGCCCCCAGGCTGCAGGAGAAGGCGGCCGACACCATCGAGGCGCTGCAGAAGGCGGGCATCAAGGTGTGGGTGCTCACGGGTGACAAGATGGAGACGGCGGCCGCCACCTGCTACGCCTGCAAGCTGTTCCGGAGGGGCACGCAGCTGCTGGAGCTCACCACCAAGAAGCTGGAGGAGCAGAACCTGCATGACGTGCTGTTCGAGCTGAGCAAGACGGTCCTCCGCTGCGGCGCGAGCCTGACCAGGGACAGCTTCTCGGGGTAGGCGGCCCCTGGCCGAGAACAGCCTTCCGTGGTCGCAGACGTGACCAGAGCTGCTTCTCTTTGGCCCCTGTGACATGCCTTTTGCACGAGGGGCGTGTGCGTGTGCGCTGTGTCCACTTCCAGACTGCCGGCTGAAGGATGCAAAGGCTTGACTCGTTGATTTACCAAGTACCGTGCTTGGGACGATTCCCACCTGCTTCTGAGACCCCCGGGGTCTGTGCTGTGGGTTCCTCAGGCATCTGGAGTGGGGGGGGGGAACGCTAACGGTGCGTGGACGTCTGTCTGTGAGCCCGAGACATCTTTCCCAGGACACGCAGCAGCTGCTCGCATTTTGTCAGCACTGTGCTTGCTGGTGTTAGAGACATGTTATAAGATTAGATTTCATTTGAATCACTTTAGGTTTTCCCTAATTTAGGTAAAGCAAAAGTAGCCCTCTAATCGTGTGCAAATTTTAAAGTACTCGTTCAGAAATCGTGCAAAGGTGTTTCCCTTCACCTGATCTGCAGAATTCCTTTTGGGGATTGGAAGTGTCCCTTGTAACTTTGAAACGCAGCAAAGAGACGCGTTTAGGCTCTGTTGTCTCCAGGTCAGGTCATCCAGGCAGAGTAGCCACAAGGTGTCAGCTGTGACGGTAGATCCTGCCCTCGGCCTCGGCCGCGGTGGCCGGGCAGTTCGGGATCAGGGACTGACCTCTGTGGGCGGCAGGACAGATGCCCCCTTCCCGCGTGGGAATGCCCCAGCTCCTGCCCAGGAGCCCACAGTCGGCACCTTTCATTCTCACGCAGCCTAAAATGCAGTCAGGGGGTCACGTGCACTGACCCAGAGACCATACTGACAAGACAAGAAGTGCTGGCGTCTTAATCCCTGATCGGGGATCGGCAGCGTCAGCGGTTACCCCCGAAGTGTGTAGTCTTCTCAGATCTCTGGAGTTAGCTGCTGAGTCATTTCTCTGGTTTGTACAATCGAACAGACTTTCAGCAGACATGCAGGACTACGGATTAATCATCGACGGAGCCGCACTGTCTCTAGTCCTGAAACCCCGGGAGGACGGAAGCTCCGGCAACTACAGGGAGCTCTTCCTGGAGATCTGCCGGAACTGCAGCGCCGTGCTCTGCTGCCGGATGGCCCCCCTGCAGAAGGCCCAGGTCCGGGAGCCGCCACTCCGCCAGGGGTCAGGGCGTCTGGATGTGGAGAACCCTTCGTTTGTTCTTACAGCCTCTGATTTTTTTTTTTGAAATCTAGCAAAGTGCCATCTTTTTTAAATAGAAGCAAAAATGATAGAAAGTTATTTTATTTTTTAAATATTTATTCTCAGCCCGTTTTTTAAATGAAGAGGTTTTCTTTAAACTTTTTTTTAGTACTAATTTTTTTGTTTGTTGCTGGGTATTTTTTGATAGCAGGAGGGCATTAGGTTTATTTATTAAGTTTTTTAATGGAGGTGCTGGTCCAGGACCTCACACGTGCTAAAGAAGCGTGCTGTGTACCATTGAGCTCTACCCTCCCCCTCCAAGAAATTTACACCCGCGACTTACTCAGCCTGTTGTGGTTAGTAAGTGTTGACTGAATCAAATTTGTTGCAAGAAATAAAACCGAGAAGATCATTTCTGCATTTACTTCTTTTCCAGATCGTTAAGTTGATCAAATTTTCAAAAGAGCATCCTATCACTCTGGCCATCGGTGACGGAGCCAACGATGTCAGCATGATCCTGGAGGCCCACGTGGGCATCGGTGAGCCCCCCAGTTCTGCTTCTCGGCAAAAGAAGCAAAACTGGTGACCTGGTGACTCAGCTGGACGAGAAGGGACACAGCCCAGGCTCAGCCGTAGAGTTCAGTTCCTTCCCTGGTTTTTAAACTGAAGCGCAGTCAGTCTGTGGCATGCTGCTGTCTGGTGGACGGCGTGGTGATTCGGCCACGCGCACGTGTTCCTTCCACAGTCTCCTGCATTGTAGGCAGTTCAGGACACTGAGCGTAGTTCCCTGTGCTGCCCAGTGGGACACTGTTGTTTATCTAGTTGATGTACAGTCGTGTGTGTCTGCAAATCCCAAACTCCCAGTCTATCCGTCCACCCCCGCCGTCCCCCCCCAGTAACCGTGCTTGTTTTCTGTTCGACCGCAGAACTCAGACGGCAAACTTGGGAGCCCTGTCTGTGGGGTGTCGTGGCTGGAAATGCCACGGTGGCGGTCCAGTGTCGCCTGGTCGTGCCTGCTCCCCGCGGGGTGTTGACAGGGGTTGGCTCAGCGTTGCCCTCCCTTATTGTAGGTGTCATCGGGAAGGAGGGTCGCCAGGCCGCCAGGAACAGTGACTACGCGATACCGAGGTTTAAGCATTTGAAGAAGATGCTGCTCGTTCACGGGCACTTTTATTACATTAGAATATCTGAGCTCGTGCAGTACTTCTTTTATAAGGTAGGAGGCACTTCCTCCTGTCACTGTGTCAGTGCACGTGACGTGCAGGTTGAGGTGACCCTGCCTGTCAGAACGCCTCGCGGCTGCAGGGGAGCTCTATCTGCAAACAGAGGCATCTGTCGGAGAGGAAGGGGTTACCCCTGCGGCATCGGGGGGAGACCCCTGAGCCTGCTCGCACATTCCCGAAACGCACCGTGGGGGCGGGGGTCTGCGGTGGTTGAGGAAGGCCCACCTGCTGTAATTCCTTGAAGGAGTTCCTTCCACACCGTGCACATTGATTCTCCGCATTTATGCTGGCCCGACGCTCCCTCCTCCCTTGTCTTTCACGAATTTCCCCTCACGCGGTCTGTCCGCAGAGGGACCAGGCGCGACCAGCACACAGCGCGCGAGCCGTTGGAGTGAGGCAGGTTTAAGGCCGTTGCCCGACTTCCTGTAGACCGCGGGGCGCTCGGGGCCCTTTGCGCAGATAGCCAGCCTCTCAGAGCCCGTGGCACGAGACAGGGCAGAGCTGCCTCTGGCCGTGTGTCCTTGAACTCACAGGCATGCGCCTTGTCTTTCAGAACGTCTGCTTCATTTTCCCTCAGTTTTTATACCAGTTCTTCTGCGGGTTTTCTCAACAGGTGAGTCCTGATGTCTGAAATCAGAGCTCGCCTGGGTCTGGGTGGACGGCGGGGCGTGCAGGCTGGGTCATTAGAGCAACCGGGATCGGGGGAAACTGAGGCTTGAAGGTGGACATCAGATTTGCAAAATTTTATGCAGCGTTTTGTTGCCACACGTTTGCGACAACAGGATGGGGCAGGTTGGCCGTGATTCCAGTCCTGACCAGCCGACCTTGTGACGCTTTGGAGAGCGTCCTGGTCCTTCTGTATCTGTGGAAAAGGGGCCCTGTATCCGTTTCAGGATGCGCGTGTGTGTGAGGCTTAGCAGATTACAAACACACGCGTGTGTGTTCAAACAAACGGCCCAAACAGCCGGTCCAGCCACGCAGCGCCATCCTCACGCGCGCCCCCCCCCGCAGACGCTGTACGACACTGCCTACCTGACGCTGTACAACATCAGCTTCACGTCCCTGCCCATCCTGCTCTACAGCCTCATGGAGCAACACGTCGGCGTGGACACGCTCAGGAGGGACCCTTCGCTCTACAGGTGCGTGGGCAGCCCTGCCGCAGCCCCTTGCACTCAAGATGTCCGGTGTCCGCTGGTCCACTTGCTTCCACAGGAAGTTCTGCAGGCAGGAAGCAACGTGGTCTAAGTGGATGTCCTTCAAATGTAGACAGGATTCACGTTGAAACGGACATATTAGACCAGTTCACATTTTGCCTTGCTTGGGGGCAGTTACGAAAGAGCGGGGTCAGGTCCTGGCCCCTGTGACCCTGGGGCTCTGGGGCCTGAAGCGCCCTCGGGGAGCCCAACGTCTTCTACTCAGTGAGAAAAGAGAGGCGTTAACATGTGACCACGGGGTGTGCCCTTTTCTGCCAAAGAGGAGTTTTAGGAAGGAGGAAAAGACTTTGCTGCCATTTCAGATGCTCCCCAGCATCTGTGGCTGATTCAGCACATTACTGTTCGGGGTGGCTTTTTAAATTAAACGCAGTATTTTGAGAAAATTTTAGATGCACATGTGGTCGTGAGACGTAGTAGAGAGATTCTGTGACCCTTTATCCAGGGCCCTGGTGGTGACGTCTGTGAGCCGCGGGGTGGTGTCACAGCCAGGGCACCGACACCCCACCCATCGGACCCGAGTTTCCCCAGGTTTACGGCCCTTGCCCGTGTGTGCACGCGTGTCTGTGCGTTTGATCCTGTGCAGGCTTCTCACCTGTGTGGATCCTGTGCCCACGCAGTCAAGGCTGCCCACCAGCCTCGTGGCCTCACTAGAAGAATCAGCCATTAGCTGGGATCTTGAAGTGATGCCCAAGATAAGCACTGCAGGCGAGAAAAAGGCAAACTGCCCAGGAACCTAGAGGACGACACGCTGCGTTAGACACACACCCAGCAGGAGTCCCATGGGTTCTCTTACTGAGTGGCAGGTGTACGACGTCCCTGCGCAAACGTGCGGCCTCACGCGGGAGGCCTGCGGTCCTGGCCTCAGTGAACACCAGCCCGGGCCTTGTGGCCCATGTCCTTACTTTCAGAAGCACAAGTGTGAGCTCTGGCACTTTCTGTTTGTGTAGTGAGATCACCGTCCAGTTTGAGGGAGAAAATGTTCTAACAGAAATCCTCAGGAGCACCCGTTGTGGTGAAGTGCTCGGTCTGGAACACGTTTTGCACTTGCTGCCAGGGAGCTCAACCCAAAGTGTGGTCCTTCCCCGTCTGTCACATGGGGACGTGGTCCTCTCACCATCGTGCCATGTCTGCCCACTTCCCATCATGCTTGAGTCTCCTTCCGGGTTGTACTGGAAGCTGTTCCGAAGCCTTTTGGGGACCAGATGTGGCACTGAGTGAAGCGCACAGAGCAGAAAGTGTGATGTGGGGAATGTGCGGTGGTGTGAGCCCTGAGGAGACTCCCCTTGGGATCCTGCAGGCTCAGTGGGGCCAGAGGGCATGCCTGGCCCCGAGGATGGGTGGAGATGGGGATCAGGCCGAGATGTGGACAGACAGGGCGTGGGGCGAGCCGCGTGGGAGATCAGGAGCTGAGATGCTTGGCCAGCTCCTCCAGGACTGAGCCCATGTCAGTCGGCGCCCCCGATGGCCCCAGCAGAGCCTCCTCCAGGGGTCCTGGCCCCCCCATCCCCGCCCCCCCATGGCTCTGCCCCTTGGGGTCTCAGGGAGTCGGGCTGCCTGGAGGCGGGCAGTCACTGCAGGGCTGCTGTGTAGGGCGCGTCTGTGTGGACGTGACCACGGGTCCCACCTTCTCCTCTTGCAGAGACATCGCCAAGAACGCTCTCCTCCGCTGGCGGGTGTTCGTTTACTGGACGTTCCTGGGCGTGTTCGATGCTCTGGTGTTTTTCTTCGGTGCTTACTTCATGTTTGAAAACACAACAGTGACCAGCAACGGACAGGTCAGTACAGAACTGGGTCTCGCTGGCGTGGGGGATGAAGCTTGAGTCCAGTGTGGTCGCTGGTCTGTGAGGTCTCGCAGAGCCGCCCACAGGCCTGGAGTCGGGGTGCCACCCCCAGGTCGCAGTCAGGGACGAGGTGACACTGCAGCCCACACCCTCCCCGAGGGCCCCGGACTCCTTTCTGGTAGCCTGCTTCGCCCTGGGCTGTTAGCGCAGAGGCGCAGTTCGGTCACCCAGGCACAGCGTGTGTCGCGTGGGGGTTAACTCCGTGCTCAGCGCACTTCGGTGCTCCCCACGCCCGTGAGCGCGTGTGCCCTCTGCAGCGGGTGACTGGCTCTGGGCCTTCGGCTCCGGTGGGCCGCACGGGCCTGGGAGCTGCTTTATCTGTATCTTGCTTTCTCTCCTCTTGCCATCGCCTCCCTCCCTCAGATAACGGCCGCCAGCACACACGTGGTAAGAACTGTGGGCGTGTCCTGTGTTTTCGGAGTGCGTTGTGAATAAAATATTTCTCGAAAATATTTTCCCCCGTGACTCCCCCGTGTGCTTTGTCGGTAGAGGCCCTGTCCAGCCGCCCCCGGCGCGTGCCTGGCTCACCGTGCGGGGGCCTCTCTCCGGGTGTGTGTCGGGGTCGTCAGCTGAGTCGGTGCTGCTCCTACGTGGACTTGGTGTGTCTGGACTCCCCTTGAGCGCAGGGGGCAGACAGGCACAGGCGCTCGGGGCCCGCGGGGCACGCCGCCGTGACCCGTGACCCGTGCTGCGTGGAGGGTGCTGAGCCCACGGGTGTGTCTGTCCTCCTCACGACTGCAAGGGGCTGCTGTCTCTTTTGTAACTTTTAACAGTTTCTACTAAGTTGATCTTGGTTTTTCAAAATCTTTCCTGCTTCGAAAGCCCTTACCTTTTCTAGGATTTGCTCTTTGTCGCAGTTTCGGTTGGTGGCTCCCCGCGGCCGCCAGGCCGCAGTGCAGTTGAACAGCGCTCGCTCGTTGTTCCTCTGCGTCTGTCATACAGTTTCCCCACAGCCCGGCTCTAAGTGGGCATCTCGCGTGCCGTCGAGAGCTGAGAGTCCGCCCGAGAACCGCGGCGCCGGCGCCCAGGGGGCGCGTTGGCACCGTCATCCGCGCCGCTCAGCCCGCACTGTGTCCGCGGCTCAGCTCCGCAAGCTTCACCCCGGCTCACGACAGCCACCCCTTCAGCCGGACGTTTTCATGGTGTTAAAGCCGAGGAAACCGAGGCTCCAGCAGAGGAAGCACTGTCCAGGGCCAGGTGGTTAGAACCCGGGCCCAGGGCGCTCGTTCTGCTCCGGGCGGCTGTGATACGCTGTGACTGCGGCGTCACCCGATCGGCAGCCCCTTAGCGGACACGTCTGCGAGGGGAAGGGACACATGTGCGGAGGCCAGCCTGGTCACCCTGGAAGCGGATGCAGGTGCTGTGCGGCCCCGGCAGCAGCCCGCTTCCTCAGCCGCTCCGCGTGCTGCTCTGGGTGTTTGGGGCCCTTCAGGGGTCGGCAGGTCCTTGTTCCTGAGGGTCCCCTGAGCCACCACAGAACCGGGTCCAACGTCTCGCAGGATCTTGTCCGTGAGACGCTTACCTGCCACCACTGCCCGACTCGTGCGCCTGTGCTCAGCCAGCGCCCGACAGCGTGCTCGGTTAGAATGTGAAACGGTGACAGAGCTGGAGCAGAGGTAGAGAGGAGGCCCGGCCGACCCGCGGCTCACTGGCCGCGAGCTCTGTGAGCCCCGTGGGGACAGCGCCAAGCCCAGCATGCACATCGTCACGGGGAAAGCCCCTGAATCGCAGGCGATGCTACGGCGCACAGAGCAGCGGGACCACGGGAGGTGCCCGCTGTGAGGCGCCGGCCCACGGGCGCACGCTGAGGGGCAGGCTTGCTCCGTTCACTGCTGCCCCGTGGACGTTAAGCAAGCTCGGGACTCGAAGTGCGAGGGCGAGCCCGGTCCTGACGGCAGCGTCCTGGGCACGGGCAACCCCTGCGGGCCCCGGGCGCACCTTCATCACCAGGAGGATGGGAGCCCCCGGAGGTCAGGAGCCTGGGCCCTCGAGGGGGTGCACCGCGCCAGTGGTCCCAGCTGGGCCCCGTGTTGCCTCGGGGGCCGCACTCTTGGCCTTTCTCGCCCTGGATTGTTGATTCTTGAATTCCCGTTTGTTTTGGCTTTAAGAGGGTTAGATCACTCACAAAACTAAAAATGATACTGGATGCTGGTTCTGTAGTAATTCAAGTAAACCTGCAAACTCAAGTAAGTCCGGGGCGTCTCTGGGGACGGCAGACGCTCCTGGTCTGGGCAGCAGGGCGGTTGGTGACGGTGACGCTCACCACTCGCCCTCGGTACCCCTTCCAGAGGAGGACGCCCCTTCTCGGTGGGACGGCTTAGGTGCCCTGTTCTGCGGACTGCCAGCAGGTGGCCAGTTTTTAAAGACCTCGGTCCTTCTGTGGGGTGTGCGGACCACGGGGAGCGCTGAGGGAAGGAGCACTGATAACTTCTGAGAAAGAGAAAGTCGCTTCTAGGGCACCTTTCGCACGGGCTCGAGAGCCGTGTCACTTCTCAGACGAGAATGTGAGGCGGCAGCTCCGTTACTACTGTTGAACAGCAGGGTGTTCCTGGGGGACCACGCGAGGGTTTGGGGCGTGTTGTCACAGAGGTCAGTGACTGTCCGGAGGGTGGGGGTGTGAGTGTCCCCAGCGTGAGGACCAGCTGTGCCCGGGGCTCAGCAGAAGTTGCGAATCAGCACCGAGAGCAAGTGTAGGCAGCGTTCCCTCTGACCGTGATCGGAGAACACAAGGCATGTTTGTCCGGGGACATTTTCACACATAAAAATTAAATTGGTCTGGGTGTTAGAGCGTGTATGAGCAGGGAAGTTTCTTACAAAACACCCGTCCTCAGAGGCAAGGGGGAGGGCGTGAGGAGAAGGAATTAACCTGGGACCTGGCGGGGGGGCCTGGGGGCTTCCGCTGGCTTCAGCTCTCCCGAGCGAGGCACACTGTCTGCAGAGGCACAGCGTCACCCTATGTGACAGTCTCCTCGGTGACACAGTGTCACCTCATGTGACGTCTCCACGGGGATGCAGAGTTACCTTAAGAGACAGTCTCTTCAGAGACAGTGTGTGTCACCTTAGGAGATCCCACCCCGGCCTTCACTGGGGGGGCGGGGAACTGACGTCACTTGGAAAAAGGGTCGTCCCTCTGGGCAGCCCTTTGAGAAAGGGAGTTTGCACCCCAGTGAACCCCCAAACAGTCCATAGAAGTAACTGCAAACAATTTCAGTAATAAATTGACTCTCAGCAGTTGGAGCGAGGGCTCCCTTAAAGCAAGCAGGGGAGCTGGGAGGAGCACCCCGAGCCGTCACCGCGCGTCCCAGCGAGCCGGGACGGCGCACGGGGGGCCCAGCTGACGGGGGCAGGGGTGTCAGCCTTGCCCAGGTTCCACCCCGAATTCTGAAATCTGATTCAGGACGGTTGCCTTTGCTGCTTGTCGCCCGTAAAAGTCACAGCTGAGGCCCCTGTGTTTCACTGGGCTGGACGTGGCCCCAGACCCACCCACGTCTGCCGAGCCCCCAGGGATCCCGGCGGTGGGTCGGGAAGCCCCCCTCAGGGAGAGACGGGAAACTTCCTCCCTGACTGTGGTGCAGCTGGACATGCGCTCCCACCACAGTCCCTCCCCATGGTTTCTATTGTCTAAGAAGGGGTTCTGAGGCTCCTGCCCAGCAGAGAGGCAGACACAGGGGCCTGGGATGGGGAGCTGGGGGCGGTGCAGCCTTCCCTCCCATCCAGTGCCGATTCAGAGCTGCCACCTTCCTGCAGGCAAACCTTTCACTTCTGGCTAAAAGCAGTAACTGCCGATGGAAGTGAAACAGGTGTTGAGTCTTCCACCTGCGGGCCAAGCCTTCTCACAGGCCACTGCCAGCTGCTCCCACCTCGCAGGGCAAGTGTTCCCACCCTGACGGCCAGCGTGGAAGGGGGAGCCCTGTCCTGAAGGGTTTCCCGGCCGGGGCACCGGGGCTGGTGGGGTCAGAGCTGTCGTGGCTGTGGGCTGCCCCGTGCGATTAGCTGGCCTTCGGCTTCTCCCTGCAGGATGCCAAGAGCTCCCTCCCCCGACAGTGTCCCCAGATGTTGCAGGTGGCCCCCTGCCCCCACCTGGGGGACAGAATCGCCCCTGGCGAGAGCCTCCGTGGCTGTGATCCAGTTTTAATGACGGTGGTGAAGTGAAGAATAAAGTGAGAAAAGAGTCCACGGGGTCCTGATCCTTAAGCCTGTTTCCTACAAAAGTCTTAACGCTTCGACTTTTCTCCTAGAATTCTGCACGTAGGTTATAACCTCACTAAATGTCGCCAGCCCTGCAGCCCGCGCTCCCCGCAAGTGAGTTGCATGTGGTTGTGCTGCTTTGGTTGAAACCAGTGTTACAGGAAAGCGACTTTCCTTGTAGCTTTTAAAGCTTTGTCTTCTCCTAAAGGAGACCTAGAACGTTCTCTGAGAGGCACAGCTCCCAGAATTGGACAGGCCAGAAATAGGTCCGCTCCCGGGCGGCGCAGAAACCTCAGGGGAAACAAGTCTCACCTCCCGCAGGCTGGTTAGTGCCCCAGAGAAAGGCTCTGAAGCCGCCGGTGCTTCCTTCTGCCTGTGTCTCTGTCTGTCGCGCTCCCTGCTGGCCGGCCCCGCCCCGGGACCCCCCTCCGCCTGCCGTCACCCCGTGGGACGTGGGACGGGGTTCTTGGCTCTCACCGCCCCCAGGAAGACGTGCCGGCAGGGCCGCCAACAGGCGTTTGGGTTGAGTTCAGAAGAGAATAGACGCAAACTCTGCTGAGTTTGTTCTTGACCGTGACGGCACGGAAGGCGCCAGGCTCGGCACTGGGAGCGGGCGGACCAGGGCACAGGCTGTGACTCCAGCCCTCTGTCTGTGAGCAGGACGTTTGTCGAGGGGGCGACATCGGGCCGACGGGCAGCCAGGCAGGAAGGTCCCCAGGGGGTGGTGCGGGAGCCCGGGCGTCTGCCTGTCCCTTCCCTCGCAGTAGCACCCCGCCGTCCCTGTGTCTCGGGGGTTGGGGTGCCGTCAGGCAGGAGCCGTGGGAGGTGTCCTGTGGCCGTGTGTGTGAGTGTGAAGGGCAGCCGGATTGACAGAGACTCTGGGCTCTTCTGTCCGCAGATATTTGGGAACTGGACCTTCGGGACGCTGGTGTTCACGGTGATGGTGTTTACGGTTACCCTGAAGGTAAATCCTCTGACCTCGGGGTCCTCCTCTAGCCCAAGCTGCCCCACAAGTGAGTTGGGACCCCCAACCCAGGCCCTGGCCCCTAAGGTGCGAAGGTCAGAATTACACAGAAGGCCAAGGAAGGAAGGATCCTTTTCTGTACGAAAGGACTCGGACTAGAGTTCCTTTTAGTGGCAGGCGGTCCCACCCCCGGTGTCATCACAATGCACTTCAACTGAAACAGATTAGTGTGTTGTGGGAAAGTCAGTCAGTGTCTTCCTGGAATGTTAGGAAGGCCCCAAACCCGGTCACGGGGGCCCCATCCTTAACCAGGGAAACGGAAAAGCCCAGAGCAGAGTGCCCAGTGGTAGTGGGACCAGCGCCTGGAGTCGCCAGCCCTGCGCCTGCCCCGTGGGAGCGGGTCCCCCCGGCCCGGTGAGAATGCCCAGGGCTGTTGAAACCCGAGTCCTCCTCCCCACTGGAATCTAAGGTTTGTCTTTTCCTGAGCAGGTTCATGTTGGCATCTTGACTAAAATGAAGGCGTTGTTTGGTTTTTTTCCATTGTTTTCTGGCTTACTTCCCTAGTTTCACGGTTCACGGTGACGTGCCAGGGGAACACCGCTGTGAATGCCTTTGCTTTTTTTCAGCTGGCGCTGGACACACACTACTGGACGTGGATAAACCACCTTGTGATCTGGGGGTCCCTGCTCTTCTACGTCGTGTTTTCCCTCCTCTGGGGAGGAATTATCTGGTACGGATTTGGCTGTCAGACCGTCATTATTACGTTGGTCGTCCTGCGGTATCGCTCATCAAGGGCGCAACCTCCGTGTGCGAGTGTTTGCTGAGGGCTGCTGTGTGCGAGGCCTGGTGCTGGGCCCGGGGCCGCGGGGGTCGAGGGGATGTGGTCCCTGCTCCTTCCTCCCGGGTGCTCAGTCAGGAGACGCGCTGCTCGTAAGTGAGGAGGCCTGTGTCGAGAGGAACAGACCAGATGCCACAGCAAGGCGTCTGTCTCAGATGGAAGTTTGGGGAAGGCTTCTCAAAAAAAGACGTTATTGAACTGAAACTGGGAGAAGAGTGCCACCACCACAGTGGGTGCACAGGGGAGCTGGCCTCGGGGGCCGTGGTGGGCGCACAGGGGAGCCGGCCTCGGGCCTCGGGGTCTGACTCCAGGCGCAGCCCTTCCCCAGGAAGGGAGCCGCGCCAGCAGAAGTGAGTCAGGGCCCAGCGGTGGAAGGCAGTCCACCGAGGACAGAGTGACCCAGGTCCAGCGTAGGCCACCCCAGACCCCGACCCCAGCCTCACGGCATGGAGGACTTTAGTCAGAGGAGCTCCGAGTCTGGTGATGCCGTCAGGAGGGGCACTGGCTGCGTGTGGAAAGTGAACTGTGAGTGGGTACGAGCAGGACGCCCGCTGAGAGGCCACTGCAGTGAACGGGTCCAGAAGTGGTGCTGGTGTGCCCATCCTGACGGCGGCACAGAGGCTGCGTCAGTGCTGCTCCTTCTACCCAGAACGTGCTTCCCAGCTAGCCGGCCTCTGAGCTCCTCCTCGTCCTTTGAAACCTAGCGGCCCACTGTCCTCTTCAGTCACCTGACCGGTGCTTCCACCGCGTCCCCCAAGCACTTGTTCCTGCCCCTGTCACAACACGTGCTGTATTTTCCTCTAATCTTCCCGTTTACATTTCTGCCTCCTCTGCAAGAGCGTTTCCTGAGCGGAGCTGGGACTAGGGGCCACAGCCTGGGAGGGAAGGCCTCCTTCCACTGGGCCTGCTGGCCTCAGCCCAGGCCTGGCCGGACCCGAGACCAGAGGCAGTGTCCCCTCCACTTGCATCTCTGGTACTGCGCACAAGCTCCCGGGACACGCAAGCGGCCCCTGAGATGGGAGGAGGGGCTCCCTGGTTCTTCAGAGGCCGGTGTCCACCCCACAGCCTGCTCCATTGCTGACCCCCAGTGGCCACGTCCACGCATTGCACGTTCCCTGAACCGGGGAAACGCAGGAAAACTGGACCAGCTTTGGGTGGGTTTCCAGCAGCCCCGCCCCAGGCTAGGGGTCGCTGTGGTTCCAGAGGGAGGGTGCCCTGAGACTCCCCCTGCCGGCTCCTGGGCCCTGGGGCTCAGGGGCCACGAAGCTGTGTGGCTCAAGTTCACACCGAGGCATGAACCACCGCCCCTTTCCAGCCTCCTCCGAGGAACTCAGTGTAGACGCTTCCTTGAATCACAGCTTCCCCTGGCAGGGAAGGCATTTCATTCTCTGTATTCTTATAGAAATTTTAAAAAAGTTTATGGTACAAGTTAAGTGGCCACCCGCTCTGCTGATCAGGACCCGTGCTGTCTTCTCCACGTTATTAGCTGTTGATCAGCTGCAATTCCGAGATACAAAAAAAAATCTCCTATTTCATCGTGTAAAATCTTTTCCACTGTTGTGAAATGGGACTTCTCCCTTTGGGATGACATCAGACTCCCTCCTCCTCTTCCCACTCTCAACACCCAGCGCCACAGGGAGAGGTGACATCCCACTGTTAGTGTGGCTGAGTCCTCGGCCTGCCCAGTGGCCGGCGGTGGCAGCAGTGAGTGCTGCGGGAGCACGCGGGCTCCTCAGGCAGGTGGAGGGAACAGACTGGCATTTCCACGTCTCTCCCGCTGGTTTCTGACCTGTCCCGTGTTGTTCTCTCCTCACGCTCGACGCTGCAGGCCGTTCCTCAGCTACCGGAGGATGTACTATGTGTTCATCCAGATGCTGTCCAGCGGGCCCGCCTGGCTGGCCATCGTCCTGCTCGTCACCGTCAGCCTCCTGCCCGACGTGCTCAAGAAAGTGCTGTGCAGACAGCTGTGGCCCAGTGCCACCGAGAGGGTCCAGGTACCGCCCCGCCCCGGGGTCTCAGCGGGAGGCCGGCCTCACGGAGGAGGGCCTGGAAGCTTGGGTTTGGGAGTGTGACCAGCCCAGCACTGCTAATGAGTTCCCCGATGACAGGTGCTTGTCAGCGCTAAGCAAGGTAACATTCCAGGTGGCCAGGGTTGAGAGCTGAACAGCGTAGTCGGCTGAAATAAGAAACAGACTGAGAGAGAAAGGTTAAGCCAGTACAGAAGACAAATTATTTTGTGTAAATTCAAAAAAGTTTTTTTTATTAATCATTGTTTTGAAGTAGAATTGCATTACCTCTAGGGGAGGTGGATTTGGCTCAGACCTTAGCGTTTGTCCTGGGACATCCTGGTTATGAGCAGGCACTTGCTTCCACACTCCCAGACGAGGCCAGCGGCTGGATCCTGGGTTCAGGGAAGAAGTGAGACACACAAAAGGCCCAGCTGACTTCAGACACAGGATGTTACTCGGAGCTTCTGAGACCGCTCTGCCCCCTGGACTTCCCGGGGAGGGGACGCTCCCCCACCCCCCCCACTGTGACCCCCCGTCCCTCCCCCCCATGACCCCCCTGTGAGCTGCCCTCGGAGGTGCAGAGCCTCAGGGCGGAGGAGGAGGGTGGCGTGAAAGGGCCGAGCCCCCGCCGGGCAGCTGGGGAGGGTGCTTGTCCAGGCGAAGGGGGCGGGCGCGCAGGTGGGGGGCTGGAGAGAGGGTGGAAACTTTACAGGACGTCCACCCGCGGCCCCCGTAGTCTCGGCCCTTCAGTGCAGGTGGCCCTCCCCTGGGCTGGGGCCCCACCTCCGCCCATCCTGGCGGGTGACAGGACCGGCATGGGGAGCTTTCTTAGCTCTCGGGCTCATTTACTCCTGAGCTCAGGCCCCAGGCCCCAGGCCTCGGGAGTCCTCTGTGTCATTCCTGCCGGGTTTGTAAAGTCAGTGCTGACAAATCTCAGGAGGTCAGAGCAGGAGACCCACTGTGGGAAGTGAGGGCTGCGGCCTCCGAGCTCAGCGGACGGTGGACGCTGCGGCCGTCTGACCGTACTCACCGCCTTCTCTTGTCTCTTCTCTTGCTGGTTCCTCTCGTCTTCCGGCCTCTTTGCCCAAATAACCATCCTGTCTAACGATGTGCATGGCCTCCTGACCTCTGACCTCTGACCTCTGGGACCGGCAGACTAGGAGCCAGTGCCTTTCTGTCGAGCAGCCCACCGTCTTTATGCTTTCCCAGACTTCCAGCGGTCTGACTTTCTAGCGGGACAAGGTGATGCCTTCCTGTCTTCTCGCACGTTTGGGGTTGAGTCGCAGGATGCGGGGGCCTGGCGTGTAACCTCGGGAGGCACGAGCGCAGCCCTGGCTGGGAGGTACCGGGCCGCAGCGTCCGGAGATGTGGGCACGGGGCGGCTTCCATCCAGGCACCAACCAGTCCATTGGAAGCGTCAGGGCCCACCTGCCTGGAGGCTGCACGTCTGTGGAGGGTGGGGAGCCGGCTGCCACCACGCTGGTCCTTCCACGGGGCCCCTCTGCAGCCCCGGGGACGAGGGCAGGTCCTCTCTGCCACTCGCCCACAAGCCTGGCTCTGCATTCGGGGTCCAGGGCCCCACAGGAGAGGCAGACTGTGGGCAGAGCCCGGACAGACATGTTTGCGGTCAGCTCTTTTACCAAATTCCCTTTTCACTTTTTTTTAAGAATCTGATTGTTTTTAGGAAAAGGCTCTGCCTTTGCTTTAAGTGGCTGCAGTGCCCCTGTCTTAGCGACACAGAGCCGTGAGCCTGGGGTTTTCTGTGCCGGCCGCCTGGGGCCCAAGGCTTTCCGTCCAGAGCCAGGGCTTTGGGGACAGAGCTTACCTGTTTCCGGGTGTTTGTGTACCTGAAGGCCCCCTTTGTGTGGCCTCCAAATCCGGCAGACTTTGCGGGCCTGTGTTTGCTGTTACAGCTTTACCAGGGCCGCGTGCTTCATAGGAAAATGCCTAAACCGAAAAAAAAAAGCCTTTTTCTTTCCTTTTAGTAATGGTTCATGTTCTATAAAGGTTTAGCAGTGTTTTTTAATTAACAAGACATGCATCTTTAAGTTCAGGTAATTGTTGGGAATCAAAATTGTTCTAATCTGGTGCCATTAGAATCTGTGAGAATAAATTACATGATTTCGTTTTGCTGTTTTCATACCTGAAAACGTGTAGGATGAAATTATTAGGAACACTTTTAATAAGTCACAGGAGGTGCTTATGAAATTGGCTAAGTCATGCCAGCTCTGGGCTGAGAACACATACTCTATTGATACAGTTAATCAAGAGCTGATTTGCTTCTGAACCTTTGTGGAAGCCAGACCCTGGCTGCTTGGGGCCAGGGGCAGCACTGAGCCCCACGGCCGCGCTGCCGGGACCCGGGGGCGCCCCACCCACCCCTCACGGGGCCCCTGCCGCCTGCGTGCTCCCCGCGCGCACGGGGTCGGCGCTTTGTGGCTGTGTATCGCCTGACCTCGGCAAAACTTTGGAGGAATAAACGTTGACTAGTCCTTAGGTGGAACATCCCACACTTCAAACATGTGGTTTTGTCTTTTAATCTGTCCTGTTGAAAAGAAAAACATCGCTGGCCCCATTTCATGTATATTCATATACGTGTGTGTGCACATGTGTCAGCCCTGTGTGTGTGCGTTTATTCCATCTGTGTTCATCTTTCTGTACGGTTGTCTCGTCTCCGCCCCTGCAAAGAGCAGCAGTGCTGGTCGGCTCTCCCGCTCCTCGTCTGCATCTCCAGCCTTGTGGTTCTTCCACTCCTCAAATTCCCTTCTTCCTCGATGCTGAGAAACTCACACGGCTTGCCTTGAAAACCTGAGTATTCTGACGCCCAGCCCCGCTGACCTGCAGCCCCACGACTCCTTAGGCGTCCAGGATTCTGGGCTCAGGCCGGGGCTCTTCCGTTTGACTGGAGAAGGGGCCGAAGGACAGGGCCAGACAGGCACACAGAGAGGGACAGAGGGGCGGGCAGGTGCAGAGTTCCCGCAGGCCTGGGGGCCTTTGGGGGAGCACCGCCGTCAGGAAATTGCTCAGGAGGCATGCGGTGAGTGGGCCGGACCCTTAGCGCCAGGCTTCAGCACTCTGGACAGTGGCCTCTGCTGCGCCCAGCGTGGCAGGTCCCTTGGGGGACGCCCCGGCCCGGCCTCCTCTCTGTGCCGTGTCCCCCTCATTGCCCCACAGAGCTAGGGGCCGTGTGGCCGCGGCACAGGCTCAGTGTCTGTCCTCGCCTTGCAGAGGAGCCCGAGCCGCCCAGCCCCGGCCGACACCGCGCCGAGCCCCGACTGGCCTCTCCTGAAGGACCCCGAGCCGCGGCCGAGGCGCGAGTAGCCCGCGGATAGGTAACGGCCGCCCGGCGGGCAGCCCGTGTGCTGTGCTCTTGCCGACTGCCTGTTCTTCCTCCAAAGTTTTGCTGTGCTGTGCCGTTTCTGATAGGTTCATGATAAGAAAGAAATGCTTTACACACGTGTGCTCTGTCCCAGGTAAGTGGCCTGCCCAAGAGGCCGGGCCGAGGAGGGCAGCGTGCTGCACACATGTAGGCACATGTGCACACACACCTGTGCAGCACACACCCCTGGGTACACGCACACTGGGCGGACATCGCCGCACACCAGGCAGGCATCATCGCACACGTGATCACACGTGATGAGTGTCAAGAACCTAGCTCACCTCGCCTGCGGCTGTGGGAATAGCTTCACCCAAAAGGTGGAGTGGGAAAGACCACATTTTGACATAGAAAAAGGAACATGGTGTGATTGGTCCTGCATGTTGGCCAGGGCAGGTGTCCATCGGCTGGGAGTGGAGCTTTGGCCTGAGAGATGTGAATGTGCAGCCACGTCCCCAGTGTGTCCTGAGCTGGACCTCAGGTGTGACCAGCACGGCTGCCTTCTCCGTCAAGAAGCCGGCTCTCCTGCCGGGCTACCCCACCCCTTCCCATCTGTTCTGTTCAACCACATGGGCCGGGCGAGATGTCCATGGGTGGAGACAGGCTGGCCTGGTGGGCAGGAGGCAGGTTTGAGCGAGGCCAGCACAGCCATGTTGGAGGTGCCATGCGCAGCCTGGGGCCCAGGGAGGCGCCCTGTGTTTTGACCCACATCCACACACGGTGGGCCCGAGAAGGGGGCACGGTCTCGGCCAAGACGCAGTCCACACGTCACCTCTGCGTCTGGTTCGGGCAGTGGGCGCCACCTGCCTGCGCTCTGGAGGGAGCCCTTCCAGGTCAGGTGGGCGTCAGGTGGGATTCCCACGGGGGTCCTGGTTCTGACTGTCCTTTCTGTTCCCGACAGACCGCGCACGTGGTGTCAGGACCACCTCTCCGAAGTTACCCCCTTGCCTCTCTGTAGACCCCCACCCCAGGCAGCGCCCCTTCCCAGCCCTGGTCTCTCAGACTTCCTGCCTGTCCAGCTGGAGACCCTGCCCCCATGGCCCAAGGGGAGGCCAGAGGGACAGATCACCGTGCCAGCCCTTAAGAGCCACACAGTGTGTGCCTCTCCTGGCAGAGAAGGGAGGGAGCACGATGGAGGATGCGGCAGAAGCCGTCCCATTCCTGCACAGCTCGGCGGTGACTACAGAGGACACAGCATGGAGCCCCGTCCCTCCATGAGGACATCTGCTTGGAGACCGCGGTCCGTCCAGGCAGAGGCCGCACCACGACCTCCAGGCCAGGGAAGCACAGCCTGGACGTGCCCTCCGACGTGGGGGTCTGAACCCCCTGCTGCTGATCTCCCAGTACCCCTGTTTTCTGAACTGGCCGGCAGGCCCCAGTGACCGGCACCACTGACGCTGCTGTCGGAGCCCTGCGCCAGGAAGCTGGCTGATGCATCCGATCCCGAGCCCGCTTCTCTGGGGGGGCCGGCACTGGTGTGTTTGGGGTGTCTCCTCTCCACCCCCCGCTGCCTCTGTGCGGAGGAGGCCACCGTCCATTAAAGCTTCTCAGCGCAGGGTCTGAGATACGTCGTCACACCCCCGAGGACCAGCTGGCCGGTTTGCTGTTGCCGGGAACTGCTGGCTTCAGGGCGCTGAGGGGAAGGGTGGGGTCTGGGTGCCCAGGTAGGCATCTGGCTGTGGTGGTCAGAACCCCTTTCCAGCGTCCCTACCGAGAGTGGCCTCTGGGGGTGGTGCTGTCTCCCCAGGTCTGTGTCGGGCTCCCTGGGTCTGACCAGGTGGCTGGGAATCCTAAACAGCAGTACCGCGCCCGGGGCCACCACCCTCACTGACCAGGCCTTGCTCCGAGCTGTCCGCCTGGTCCCTGCTCTGCAGCAGGTGCCAGCGGCGCTTTCTTTGGGGTGGGAAACCACCGCCAGGCAGCTGCCGTGTGAAGTCCCTGTGCTTTTCGGTACCTTTATCTCTGTTTCTAGAAATAACCCATTCGACGTAGCCTTAACGGTCCATAAACAAGACATTTCAGTCTGAGATTCAACCTTCAGATAGTAAAACCGATGCCTTTTTAGGAAAGCGTCACCCAGAAGCTAAGCGTTGTTCCCCTGCTGGGTTCGCCTGCGGGACTCGGGGACGTCGTGAGCAAACACTGAGTCCTCTTCTGAGATGCTCGATGTTAGGGGTTTGGGGAAGTTCCACTTTCACAGTTGGACTGTATGATGTTTTGCCTGTAAAATACTTATCTGAACTGGGGGGTGAATTAGCAGTGAGAGCCGTGCACACAGGTAGCTGGCATGAAGGGCGAACACCTACCAAAGACGAGGATGAAGGGCGCGGGCTCCGAGTGGGATGGGGGCGGGGGCACCTGTCCGTCCAGGGGCCTCCAGCCCACTCCCTGCCCTCTGTCACTCCTGCCCCACTGCCTGTGTGTGGTCCACAACACCCTGCAAGCAGTGGGGGCATTTTTACAGCCGTTTTTAAGAACCTAATATGGGTATAAATGTAATACCTGTGGGGGCAGATCCTCTGTGTGTTTAGTTAACAAATTCTTTGTAATGTATTTTTTTAGAAATCTTAAAACTGCCTTTGCACTGAAGTATTTTCGTAGCTGTTTATACCTCTTTTATTCTTTCATTTGTTACTGCACCATTTCTAATTTTTAAAGTATGTTTTTAAAGCTTTTATTTTTTAAGTTGATGAAATTTTGGCCACTTTACATTTGAATTCTGGTGGGAGTTTTGGCTGAATGTCTCAATAGCTGGTGAATGTGAATTTTCAGATTTGATTTTATTCTCAACATCTGTTCGTTTTTTGGTTTTTCCAATGGGAATGGGTAGTTAAAAGGCATCTTTAGTGTATGACAATTTGCTGTGCTTTTTCTTCACAATTCATTGCAGTTGCATCTGCTTTTTGTTCGGGTTTTCATTTCTGTCCTTCAGCCTTAAAGTAGAAGCTTTTGATGGTTAGGATTGAGATGGTCGCCGTTTACCGCGGGTAGTTCAAGCCTCCTTATGAAGGTCGCTGACCTTTACACGTTCCAAACTGTCTTTTTTAAATTGTCTGGGAAATTACTAAGTGACCGCCTGGTCACTGGAAATAAGCGAGGGGCCCCAGATAAACGGTGAGATGGAAGGAGGGAAGGACATTCCAGAGAAGACTTCACGCGGCCCGCCTCACGGTGGTCAGGCCTTACTTGCCTTAAACCAACCTTAAGCAAGTAACTAACTGATGCACTTCCCTCGGTTTTGGAAATCTTAGTCTC